CCTACGAGAGCGAGAGAGAGAGAGAGAGAGAGAGAGAGAGAGAGAGAGAGAGAGAGAGAGAGAGAGAGAGAGAGAGAGAGAGAGAGAGAGAGAGAGAGAGAGATCTGTAGATGGATGCTTGTGGAGACGCCGAATATCTCATTGACATTTCCGTGTGTGCGAGCATAGCCGCACCAGCTTTACTTGTGCCATTTAACGGCCACACGGGCTGGGTTGAATGTTTTTTTTTTCCTTATGTGAATCTTGTGGCAGTTAGTTTGATTGATAACATAGTAATGCTCAGCTCGAAGAAGGCACTTCATGGATGATGCGAACAAACCGGCCACACGGGCCGGGGAATCTTGTGGCAGTTAGTTTGATTGATAACATAGTAATGCTCAGCTCAAAGAAGGCACTTGATGGATGATGCGAACAAACCTCGTGAGGCAGAAAACAAACAATATTAACTCACTGCACTGCATGTTTCTACGTTTGGTGTGGCCGCCTGACATGACAATGCAGATGATTGATGACTTGCGGTCGCAGATGTTGAGATGGAAGGATGGGTTTGTTAGTCGATACAGGGTTCCGGTGATTCGGACGGCATCGAGCAGTTTTTACTCTGGCAGTTTCCATTGAGAGAGAGAAACGGGGTTTTGCAGCCTACGCGGATCGGTATTTCTGTTGACTGTTTTTTTTTTCCATGCGACGGACCTGCACTGCTGGTGTTCTATTCTGAACTCGAGAAAGGATGCATGCAGATATGAGCAAGTTGCTGCATTTCCGGTGCGGAGAACCTGCACTGGGGGAGCCTTGCTGCTTGTTCTGGGTGCATGTGGCTTGCGGACACTTTCCGGCGGTGATTCATCGAATGATCTTTGATCAGTGACAATGGACAGAAGCCGGCTTTCAATTCTTGTTGCAAATGATGATGCCAAGCTTTGGAACTGATCGACGACCTAAACGCCTAGTTGGGAAGTATTTTTTGGTGCCTCCGTACGAAGGTAGCGCGATCTCTTGAGTGTATGATGTGCAAGTTGCTGCATTTCTTGTGAGTAGCAAGTTGCCGCATCTCTGGTGAATGGCTGGCCGCGCCTTCACGAATCTCTGGCATTGATGCAAGGGCTGCTGCTGCTCTCAAGCTCCATGGTTTGTCTCAACTTGTCTGCAGAGCTAGATGTCTGTGCGGCGAGCCGCTCAAGATGGGTGAAGGTAATGCAGGCTGGAGCAAGTAGCTGAAAAAAAAAAGATTGCAATCTAGCATCTGGTGTCATGGACTCTGGCTGTTGTCGCTTGCTGGTGTGGTTTGGCTGGTGGGTTTGTTTTGGAGCGAAGCGCACATTTGTGGTTTCTCTCTGATGTGGTCCAAAGGTTCTCTGATAATGGGTTGATAAGGGGCTCTGATTGGGGGCTGAGGGTGAAGGGCTTCTCTTGAGGGCCCGTGCCGTGCGCCTCGTTGGCCCCTCGTCCTTGCATGTACCTTGTACTAGTGTGTTTCAGGGTCGTTCCTTAGGTATATGGGTCCGTAGTGATGGCCTTAGTAAATAGCAGATCAGTTGTGATAGTTCGTACTCGACCTTCGACCTGTTATTCCGCGGGAAGTCCGCAGGGAAAGCTTGGGAGAAGCTTGTTGAAAATCGGCGTGCACTCGGGTGTCGACATGCATGGGTTGGTTGCATGTTTGCGTTTTCGAATTCTCAGATTTTGCCAAGTTTCCAGGCATATTTCTGATCTTGAACTAGGATCTCAAGATGACATCTCCGTCTGTTTATGTAAGACTGGTTTTGTGCATTTGGTGTGTCTAAGCACCTTTACGTGTTTCGTCAAGAATGGAGCTTGTGGCGAACAGACAACTCTCTTGAGCTGAACAGTCGATCAACTCCGGCCAAGCGTAAGAAAGTGAGTGGTGTGTACGGCAAAGGCATGCTCTGACATGTGTTACATTTTCTTTTTCTTGTCTGCTTCTCACAGACACGTTTGCGATCTTTGCATGCTTTGCATTAACCGTACGTACTCGAGTCGATGTGTGGATTCATGCATCTTGCCCTAGGTTAAGTACTTGAGTCTATGGGTAGCCTGTGTAGTGTATGTGAGGCTGAAGAAAGGATGGTACAAAACCTAAGTGCGATCTATATGCTGCCTATGTCTGGTCTATGTGCCCGCATGTGTACTTTGCACCACATAGTGTGCAGCTTATGTGTGACCTATGTGTAGTATATGTGATGGTGAAGGAGGGATGGTACAAGACCTAAGTGCGATCTATATGTTGCCTATCTGTGGTCTATGTGCTGCTTGTGTACTTCCCACCACAGCGTGTGCAGCTTATGTGCGACCTGTGTGTAGTATATGTGAGGCTGAAGGATGGTACAAGATCTACAGTGTGCAGCTTATGTGTGACCTATGTGTAGTACATGTGATGCTGATGTAGGGACGGTACAAGAGCTAAGTGCGATCTATTTGCTGCGCCTATGTGTGGTCTATGTGTTGCTTTATGTACTTTCCACTGCATAGTGAGAAGCTTATGTGTGACCTGCGTATAGTATATGTGATGCTGAAGGATGGTAGAAGACCTAAGTGCGATCTTTATGTGCTGCTGCTGATGCATCGGCGAAGTCCTGCTTCTGTACTTCCCACATAGCGTGTGGCTTATGTATGACCTATATGTAGCATATGTGAGGCTGAAGGAAGGATGGTAGAAGACCTAAGTGCGATCTATGTCCTGCGTATGTTTGAAATCCGTATTGCCAAGTCTCTGCAGCATCCATATAAGCGATCTGAAACAAGTTCGAACAACCATTCGTTTTTCGTTTTGTATTTTATGTTCTCGTTTGGTTGATGGGCCCGTAAAAGGTCGCGGGCTGCTTCACAAGTAGAGTAGAGAGGCAAGCAACAAGGCGGTGTTCTATGTGCTGCTTGCGTACGTTTTCCGTGTGACGTGCAGTCTATATGCGACCTTTGTGCAGCCTCTGCGTAGACTATTTGCCCCTATGTCTTGCCCATGTTTGGTCTATATGAAGCATGTACACTATGGATTATCTTGTCCAGACTGTGCGGACTTGTCTTGTCCGGACTGTATGTGCATACTGCGTTTGCCGTCTTTGGCTTTTATGTACAATTACTTGTATCATCATTCATGATTTATCATGGAGGTTCTTTAGATTGCACACATTCTGCGTCGTTATCCGGCAATGGCTGGTTGGCCCAGGTTGAGATTAAGCCGCCTCTTTTTTGTGGGGTGATGCTTAAGATTTGAGACAGACTCGTTGGAGGAAGCATGTGAGGAGCACGTAAGAAGAAAGCACGCAGGGGGCCTGCATGTGCCCCTTCCTGCAGATTGCTGGCAATTATGCACAACCATGTGGGTACAGTTAGGGTGCAGTTAGCGCAGCAGTTTTGATATCTGTGAATTGCTGGACATGAGAGGGGAGCTTATTGAATATTATATCATGAAAACCTGACCGCCAGGGTAGGCCCTGCCTATACCTCAGCCTGCACAACCCTTTTGTTTTAAAAAGAAATGAAAAAAATAAAAAGAAAACCTGTAACATGGCTTTTGCTAAAGTCGCTGTTCTCTGAAGGAGTGCACCTTTGGAGTTCTGCATCTATCACCGGTTCCGTAGGATTAGGGCCTTCCGGCCGAGCGGTGTTGCCTGGCGCACTGCATACGATATTTCCTGCAGCATTTTTTTATTTTTTTTTTAATTAACTAAACAGTATGGTCCTGACTCCTTTTGCTTCCGCAAAAAAAAACAAGAAAGCTGCTGCCGTTGAGATATCATCACTGAATGATTGAACTGACCGTCTCAAAACTGACCGTCTCAAGGTAATTGAAAGTTGTTTTACTGATCTGATTCCAAGGTAATTGCCTGGGTCCGGAAGTGGTGCGGGTTCCATGCAGACACCCGCGGGCCTATGTATGGTGCATGGAAGCTTGTCGTTCACATAGCATCATATGAGCATGTGGAAGGCATCAGGATCTGTACGTTCGTTTTGTTGGCGATTCAGTTCGCGTTATGTTTGCAGGTCCTTATGACAGTGGAAGAAGAACACATGGACATAGCGTGTCAGCTAGTGTCGTCTTTGTAGCTGTCGTCCTTTCGAGTTTCTGCACATGGGAGTTTCTGTACTAATCCTGCCATGTTACTTCTGAAACGATGTACGCACTGAGACTGGTCTGTCCGTGGAGTTTCACCATGCCTGCCTGGTTGACCCCATATAATGGGCATTGCGGGCCGAGCTCCAGTGCTCACCGAATGTGCATGATGAGAACGACTGTCCCGCTCGAACATGGGAAAACACACCGCCATATTTCTTGTCTCTTGTGCATGCGGTGAGTAGCGCAGTGAGACCCCATCTCTTCTGTCTATCATACAGTTGTGCGGGCTGAGGTTCGGGTTATAAGGGATACCTTGAGGACAGATATATCAGGCAGCTCGCAACAGTGATCGGAGAGGGGTATCAACGACTCTTTTTTTTATGATTGTTTTATTGCAGGGTGTAAGGGGACTAGGGGGAAAGGTCTTTTTTCGCTCATGGCATGGGCTCACACGAGAAGCCATTGATGCTGTCAGGGGTCCCCAGGTACCAACGTGGGGAAGGGTCCCAAGGGGGTATCTCATGTATTCACCTGATTTGCCGGTGGAATAGGAATCTGACTGACGATCCCCAGAATGGAAATGGGACCGGACCCATATGGTCCTGTTTTCTTAAGAAACAAAACGAAGGAAGAACGGTATGCCGGCCTGGTGATTTGAGAAAGGCTGCAAGCACGCATGAATTGTAGTTGACGAATGGTTTCATTGGTTTGGTTCCTGACTTTTCCGGTCATCCGACTTTTCCGTTCATCGGGGAATCTCCTTTCGTCCGTTGGTCCACTTGTGTTCTAGTGTCAATTATCTGAAACGGTGTCAGCGGGGTGATTGACATGCCAAACTTGGCTGGTGTTTCCAGCGGTCTGATAACATCCAGTAATCTCAGCGAAATGCTTTTCGGTTCAGGTCTTTGCGTCCAGCATAGACTGTGTG